ATTCAACCCCGTCTGCACTATCAGTTACCTTCTGTAAGTCTGTGAAATTGAGATGGCCCATTCTTAGATGCCATAAATTTATATCTCGCTCATCTGCTGTTGATAGCAATGCCGGTGCTTCAGAAACATTATTCAATATATACATGTTATTGCGATGCAATGCTGTCAATATTAACTTATTATTTTGGTATATCTGACAACTATCTCTCTCAAATTTCACTTCACAGCCTTTATTTACCATTTGACTTACAGAAAGTAAATTAACTGTCAGTGTGGGTACATATAAGACATCACTGACCTGTATTGTCCGTATTATGCCATCTGAGTCTCTAATCTGAAAATCCACTGCCTTTTACTGCTACTGTTTTATTATCTGCAACCTTAATATTGTTGATAGTTGATGGGGATACATCATACATCCAATTCTTGTTATTGCACATATGCAGTGATGCTCCGGAATCGACATACCAGCAACTCCCATCCAATGCAGCAGCAGCTGGAAAAGCAGCATAATAACTATTATTTGAATTGTCATGGTTTGACGGAACCTTCTTTTTGTCTTTTTGTTACATATAAAGCACCGTGGCCCTTTGGGTTGCCCTTTCCTCTGAAATTGGTTATTAGGATTTTTTTGCTTTGACATATTTTGTTTATTATATGACTTGGCATAGTAAGCAGCTGAATCTGATACCTTAACTTCTTGCAACAACTTAGTTTTTACATAATCTGCAGTAATATTCACACCGGATCTCTCCAAAGCCATTATCATTGGCTTGTAGTAACCTGGGAGACCAGCGAGCAGCAACGTACCCAGCCACTCGTCACCTACTACAAAATTGATATTTCTCAACTTGTGAGCTATTGACTCATATATATATTCTACGACACTCGAGCAATTGTCCAAGCTAGTGGTGATCAAATCTCTCAATAAACCTACTTTTCTGCTAAGCCCTGAGTCGTCAAACACTTTTTCTAATTTAGTCCAAACCTGTTTCGCTGTTGTAGCCTCTTGTACATGGACGTAATTAACTGGGTCCACCAACAATATTATTTTCGATTTTGCTTTCGTATTTTTCTTGCTATCAGATACATAGGCTGGATCAGGTTCAATCTCTTGCCACAATTCTTCATGTTCGAGGTAGTTTTTTACGGCAAACTTCCAACTTTGGTAATTTTCTCTTTCAATTAGTTTCTCAATAGTACCCATTGTTATTTGTGATGCCATTTTATTAAGCACTTTTCTCCAAAAAATAAGCTGAAATTGCTGGAAAAAAATGAGCACGCCGGCAATGGCCGATTTTGATTTGAATTTTTAGGTTAACTAACTTTAATCTAAGTGAATCACAGCGCTTATATTTTGAAAAACTTCCCTAATATACTATCGGACATATATTGCCCATAACCTCTTATTATATGTTAGTATTTAAGTATTTACTTGATAAACTAGGAAATTAAAATAAAAACACGAACTGAGCAAATCGACGGAATATATTATATAGTAAAAATAAAATGACAATAATAGATTACAGAGTAAGGTTGCCAACAGTAAAGGTTTTTGACAAGTACAAAATATTAACTATAGATGGCGTTCAGTGTTGCAATTAATCATTTCAACAAAACACCATATTCTAGAGCAAGTTTTTAGCTATGTTGATTTGGGAGTTAATATGGACCCTAAGCTTAATTTTTGTCGTAATATTGATACCATGGTCTTGAAAGCAGCTGTCCTCAGTTTTGTTAAACGTTGGTCTAAAGAATTTAGAGATCCGTATATTACTAAAACACTTTATACAACTTTGGTTAGACCTATATTGGAATATGGCTCTGTTGTATGGAACCCTAGCTACCAAATCCATTCTGACAAGTTAGAGTCTGTTCAAAAACAATTTTTACTTTCCGCCTTAGCGCATTTTCGATGGGATTCTAGGGTAAGTCTACCTCCATACACTAGTCGTTTAAAACTTATTAATCTACCTACACTTTCTAGTCGTAGGGAAATGCTTGGCATTATATTCTTAGTGAAAATTTTGAATGGAACTGTTTGCAGTTCTTTTCTCCTGTCTGAAATTAAATTTAATATCCCGGTTCGCTTTTCGAGGCAGTTTAGACCTTTACTGCTAAAATCCTGTGGATCAAATTTTGAACTAAACGAGTCATCCCGCCGTATATGTCATGATTTTAATTCTCATTCCAGCACATTTGACTTATCTGACTCACTTTTCAAAATTAAAAATACTTTATTGTTTTTTCTTAATAAATTAAAATGTAACAATTTATTATATTGTAACTATAAATCTTAGCTGTTGAAATTTTTGTTTCTGTAGCGGAGCAGTTTTAGATCTCAACACTTAAAAAACTCTCTTGCCTTTTCTGACTCGGCTAATTCTGCACGTATGCGGATTGCGCCCCTCGTGTCGGTTGGGCGGGAGGAGGGTAATCGTTGGGTTATTATTATTATTGGCCACCGTATGTCATGATTGGTCTAACAACTACTGTGTAGAGTCAATAAGCTATCCGAGGCGTTAACCCCCATTTGGAGCCCACCATCCTTTTACAGGGGTAAAGTGCCGTAGCTGCTTTCTTCACCGTAGCATCCAAGTTTTGTTTCCATGAAAGCTTCTTGTTTATGATTACTCCTAAGTAGCTTGCCTTATCTCCAATTGTTAGTCTGCTACCATTTAATACTGGCGCCGTAACTATTGGAGTATTATTATGTTTTCTGGTGAACAATACCAGCTCCGTCTTATCAGCATTTAAGTTTAGTCCGCGCGATACGGCCCAAAGATTTATATCGTCTAAGATTGTTTACATAAACTGCCACATTGTCATGTAGCCCCTTCTTTTCTAGATCCAACAGCAACTTATTCATTGTCAGGATTCAGAGAAGTGGGGATAACACGCCTCTTTGGGTAGTACCCCTCGGACAGATCTGAACATCGTTGACGCTCCCAGCGTTGAAGTTATTGACCTGCTTGTGAGCATCTGTTCAATTAATTTTCTGAGAGGTTCAGAGATGTCCAGAATCTTAAGCGCACTCAGTATGGCCCTAGGCTGGATGTCATTAAAGGCTCCTTCAATATCTAAGAGGGGAATTAGAGTGTATTCTGTAACTTCCAGAGATTTTTCAATCTCCGCTTAGAGTTTGGCGCTGTTTCTGTGGATTTTCCTTTAGAATACGCATGCTGTGAACTAGCCAACTTTTCTGATTTTACTTTGTTTCTTATATGTAATTTTATTAGCCTTTCCAACGTTTTAAGAAGGAATGAGGAGAGGCTAATTGGTCTGAAATTCGTTGGACTTGTAAGCGAGCTTTTGCCTGACTTAGGTATGTATATTACCTTGATTTCCCTTCAAAGCGAAGGGATATAGTTTAATTGCAGCGCTCCATTAAGAATGGTAACTAGCCAATCTATTATGTAATTCTGCGACTGCTGTAATTGAGCCGGGAAATTACGGTCTGGTCCCGGCGACTTGAAGGGCTTGAAGCTATTTATTGCCCAGTGTACGTTGCTTCCTAACAATGTGTTTATAGAAGTGGAGTTGGAAGTTAAAAAAACTCAAAACAAAAGTTTTAATTATGTCTTAACTTTAAACCTAATTTTCAACTAGAATAATCTGTAATATTGGTTTGTATACATTTTTATTTGTCAAAGTAAGGTTTGTCGGTATTGCCAATGACTTTTTCTACTAAAACTAAACTACTGTGAACAAAAAAAAAAAACAATCAACAGGTATTGCTTCCAGTTCAATATCCAAGCTAAGATAGCTTTCGATAAACCAATATAATTATGTTGACTAGGTCTTTTATACAAAATAAACTAATAGCTTAACGTGCTGGTCAAATAAAACATGCATAATGTTGTGCTTTTTTGTTTTGTTGAACTACGTTTGAAGGATTCTGAACGTTTGGTCCTTCCAGCAATGAATTCACTAGAGCGAGGATTTCAGCCACTTTCTAGAAGAATTTTCTATAAAATTTGATTGTTCCAAGAAATCTTCGTATATCTTTGATGTTAGTAGGAAATTCAATACTTAGAATAGCGTCAACCTCATCTTTTAATAGCCTTATACCATTATTGTTGACACCGTTGCCACGACAGTCGGGTCTAAGCAATCGGAACGGACCCGGATTTTAATCCGGCCAAGGACTGTCAAATCGGCATCATTCCTCGAAATTACTTCAAGAATGTTTTCTGCCGCTCCAACAAAAACACTGTCCCTTCGACATTATTTTGTTATATATAATAGTTTCCATAAACGAAGACAGACTAATCGATCTAAATGAATTTTATCAGTCCTTTCTTCCTACTTTAGGTAGATTACCCTTGAAATTATCCACGGTTCGGGGATACACACACAGGGCTATCTCTCATTAGCCTGGCAAGAGGAGACAATATGGTCTGACCACGCTGTTGCAGATGTGCTGGAAAGATGCCGTCCGCCACGGGCAATTGTAGTTCTTGAAGAAACCCAGTGACCGCTTGATTGAGTCTGCAGTAAAAAAATGCGGTCGTCCTGATCGGTCTCCAGGAAATGAGAAAACAACAGGACCCTAGCGGGTAACCTGATTGTCACTACTGTCTGTCTGTCTTTTATCTGGCTGAACCCTTGTACAGCCTGGATGCCTCTGGAGTCGGGGATGGTTGTCACACAATTTCCCAAAAATATTTTGTTTCGCTGACCTAATATTCTTGATATCAACATCAGCAGTACGAATCTGGTTGGCTGTAACATTGTCACAACACAAAGTCTTTGTCTTACAAGGACTCATTACTAGGGCCCTGAACTAAATTTCAGACAGAATCTCTGATATGTTTGTAAAACTCATCATCTGCCACTGGAGTTCGACGTTTCGTATAGCACGCAAACTCGCGCGAGTTTTGAAAATAAAATGTTATTATCAATATCACAAAATATAGTTATGAATACTAAATTATAATACATACATACGGAGGCAGTACACCTATATGCGAATAAATAACGTTTTGTTTACTTTCTAGATATTTTCCACACATCCAGAGAAGTAGAGGAGGATCTCTTTAAACATAAAACATTAAAATGTGTTTTGTGGTGCAATGACAATAAATCCAAACTTCGAAAAATAAATTCTAATATGGAATTTAGTTTACGCGTTCAAGAATTTATTGAACTTGTTCGCAACGATAATCGAGTTGAAGCAGTTAAATATGCAAGAAAATATTTTCAAGGCTTTGAGAAAACACAGCTAAGGGAAATTTGCAAGTGCATGGCTTTATTGGCGTATCAACCTAATACAGGTATGCTGTTGAACTTCTTAAATGTCCTAATTCAATATAAAGGGTAGTAAATACTGACGACCTTAAATAATTTTTGGTATTTGAGAACTTTTAGGATAGATTTAATGTCAAAATCAATAAAGAAAACAGTAGAACAAGAACAAATATATTTTAAAAAAACCAAAATGTAACACAACGCATCCTTTTGATAATTAAAAGATATCAATGTTTAGTTACAATATTGTTTGGTATCTTATAAATTATACTATAGATCATAGACTCGCGTACTTTCATAACTTTATTTTGCTTTGTGTCCGAGACATTTTTATTAAAATCAACCAAATTTACACCATGTGAGATTTATGTAGGTGCTACAAACCCAGTAAAAGTGGCTAAATTTAATATATTGGGTATATCAGCAAATTATCAACCAGAGAATTGGCTCCCTACGAAGCGGTCGTGTGTTCGATGATCCCATCTCACCGTCTATATGAGGTCGACTTCTCGCATGTGGGATGGCAAATGGAGTGATCTGCTACTACAATATTTTATAAAGAGAAAGGATCAGCTGAAATTTCAAATTGTGATATATGGGAACTAGGGGGTAGGCTGTAATCCGATTTCACCCATTTTCACGAAACCTCCTTTGTAACATCTCACAGCTCAAGGTTCCCAATAATGAATCTGCCGAAATTCAAGGGAGAATATTCGGATTTAAAAATTTCATGAGTTTGTTTGAGAGTTAAGTTCAAAACGATCCAAATGTCCCATATATTGAAAAGTTTAACCATTTGGTTAATTGTCTATCTGGAGAAGCTTTGGGAACGGTAAAGGCATTTCAAATGTCGGATGAAAATTATCCGAAGGCATTGGCAAGTTTCAAAAAAGTTAACGATAATAAATGTTTGATATTTTTCAATACAATTTCAAAACTTTTCGAGCTGCCAACTATCCCAAAGCCATCAGCCCTTCATTGCGCGCGTTGATCGATAAAGTGTCAGCTGTTTATGACTCATTGCTATCGTCCGGCGATAAGAAACATATAACAAATGCGATAATCATACATATAGTCATGACAAAGGTTGACTCTATCACCCGATCCAAGTGGGAAGAACAGCTGGATTATGACAAGCTCCCATTGTGGAAGGATTGTAAAGCTATGTCCCACTTTCAAAACTCTCTCTGTGCACAGAGATTTGAGTTTGTCAAATCAGTACCCTTATGCATAAATTGTTGCGTAAGAGACATACGGTCTCCAAGTGCAGGGCGTACCAGATCATGTAATGTTGGCAACAGCAGTTATTCTCTTGAGGACCATCTGTGAAAAATATTTGCCCGCTAGAGCCTTGTTGGATCCAGGATCACAAGTCAACTTTACGACCGAGGATTTGGCCCAAAAATTGCTGATTCGACGTCAAAACAGGACGTTAAATATTAGAGGAATTGGAAATTTCAACACGAAAGTCTGGGCAAAATTAGACGCGTTTGTTAAGTCCCGGGTAAATAGTTTCGAATTTTCGGCAGAATTCTGGATTATGCGATGTATTTCGGCAAATTATCCAGACCATAACATCAATGTTAATGGCTGGAAAATTCCACACAATATTAAATTGGCGGATCCAGAATTCCAAAAACCCCAAAAGATTGATATGAAACCAGAAACCTTTTTCGATCTGCTAGCTGTTGGCCAAATTGGTCCTAAGACACCAACGCTACAGAAAACTCTTTTGGGATGGATTGTGTCTGGCAAATACGTCAGCAGTGTAAGTCAGTCCTTCCGAAGTAAATATCACATTATGCCAAGCTGAAGAAGACTTAACGTCAATAAATTCAGTAGTCCTAAAGTTTTGGGCTCTAGAGCAACTTCCTTCAGAAACAAATGGCAACGAATTCACACCAGAACAAAAAGAGTGTAAATAGTTTTTTGTTCATACAACTCAAGTATCATCTTCAGGTAGGCTTCAAGTCAAAATGCTATTTAAAGGTGACCGTAAATTACTCGGTCACTCCTATGAAACCGCGGCGGTTTCAGGCCCTGTAGAGGAGAGCATTGAAAGATCCAGAAATTCGTAAAATGTATCTGGACTTCATGAATCAGTATAAAGCACTGGGTCACATGAGCCCAACAAATAATAAGATCCCGAGTGAGCTACACTATTTCATTCCGCATCAGTGCGTTTTGCGGCCAGAGAGCTCAACAACAAAATTACGAGTTGTCTTTGATGCATCGAGTCGTACCTCTTCTCAAATTTCATTAATAAAACTTTTGATGGTAGGTCCAACCATCCAAGAAGATTTATATTCAACTCTTCGTCGTTTTCACTTACATAAGTACGCTTTAACGGCAGACATTACTAAAATGTACTGCCAAATAATTATGCATGAAGAAGATAGAAACTTCCAGCTTATTGTGTGGAGAGAGCATCCCTCAGAGCAAATTCAGATTTTTCGACTGAACACCGTCACTTACGGCACTGCGCCTGCACCATTTCTCGCAACACGGTGTTTAAAAAAGCTCAGCGATGCTAATACAACTAAGTATCCACTCGGTTCATTGGCCATTAAAAGAGACTTTTATGTTGGTGACTTATTAACAGGATCTGAAAATTTTGAGTCTCTAGATCTTATAAGAAGTGAAATAATTAAAGTATAAAACTCGGCTGGATTCACCTTAACGAAGTGGTTTATGAACCACCCTACATTTTTCGACAGTGACTATCACACCGAACACTAGGAATCCATTGGTTGCCGAAAGAGGATTTGGTTTAGATGCCAATTTTAATAATCTACGTGCCACTAAACGAAACATATTGTCAGTCTCTGCTCGCCTTTTCCATCCTCTTGGATTATTAGCCCCACAAGTCACCAAAGCAAATATCCTACTGCAGCTCTCATCAATTAGCATTCCTCGGTACGTAAACCTTGAGTCGAGTGCTATCTGCCAAATACATGGCTTCTCCGACGCTTCAATAAGAGCCAATCTGCTAGTGGTGTCAAATGTATACTGCTTACTGCAAAGTCGAGAGTGGCTCCGCTGGAGACCAAGCAACTTCTCTCGGCAGCTCATCTTCTTGCCTAATTATGGAGTAGCGCCGCTGTTGAGTCTACGATTTGAGAAAATTAATTTTTCGACAGACTCTGAAATCGTTTAGCATTGGGTTAAAACACACCCATCCACATTACAAACCTTTGTCGCAAATAGAGTTTCCGAACCGAAGAATTGACTGTGCCAAAAAAAAAAAATCTTGCGGATCAAGTTTCTCGGGATTGTAACGTAGACGAATTGAATAATTCGATATGGTTGGGCGGTCCACAGTTCCTCCTGGAAGACCCCGCTTTATGGCTAATTAAAACTCACTTCTAACTCTCCCCAGAAGACGAAGGATTAGAGAAGAAGAAAAATTCGTTTACACTAGCTGCAGTGGTGAAAGATAACACAATAATGGACCTGATCGAAAACTTCTCCTTTCATCAAAAATTGCTTCGTGTGGTTGCATACTTAATACGATGGATCAGACGACCAAAAATGCCTACTGTGGGAAGGAATCTGACATCTTGAGTTTTTGAAAATTGTTCAAGTGGTCCGACATTCGGAATTTGCGAATGAAATCCAAAAACTCACTAATGGCACCACGCTAAACGCAAACTTGCAAAAACTCAATCCGTTTTTGCATGAGTACTCGGATATGTCGCTTTCATTCAAATTAATCCGAGTAGGAGGTCGCCTATTAAATGCACCCCTCCCATACGATGCCAAATTCCCCTTATTACTGAATAAAAATTAACTCTTATTTACGGTTCCTGCACTTTCGACATCACCACGCTGGGGCCACGCTTCTTCGAAAATGCATATGGCTGATTAATGCCAGAGAAGCATGTAGTAGAACCGTAAGAAACTGTACACACTTTTCATTACAAGCCGAAGCTGCAAACCCAAATAATGGGAAATTTGTCAGTCGAAAGACTTCGAGCGCTACGACCCTTTCTCATATGTGGCGTAGATTTTTGTGGTCCAATATATACTACATTAAAAATACATGGTCGACCACCCGTGAAAACGTATATCGCAGTTTTCGTTTGCTTCACTTCAAAAGCAGTACATTTAGAATTAGTTTCTGACTTTTCGCCCTGAAAATATTCATTGGTCGCCGAGGGATGCCACAGACGATATACCGCGACAACGCAACCAACTTCGTCGGCGCGGACCGCAAGCTTCGCGAACTCAAGGAGGCGTTTCTGCCCCAGTCTCCAGACACCAGCACAAGTGGCAACGCACCCAATTCGTTGCCGCGAGAGATGGCAACTTGTTTGCTGCCTCAAGCAACAGTTTTGGCGACAATGGTCCAAAACGTGCCTTACGAACGTTCAGGAGCGCAACAAATGGTTGTTTTCGAAGCGCAACCTTCAGCCCGACGATCTCGTCCTCGTTCACGAAGACAACATACCACCGCAGCAGTGGGTACTAGGACGAGTCGTCGGAACCGTAGAAGAGCAAGACGGCAAGGTACGAGTGGCAATGGAATCGATGGCATGTGTTCAAAAGTAAACGGCTACCTCTCCGATCTTTCTCGCTTCTTTTCTGCAAGGAACCTAACACTCTCCCCCACCAAATCCACAGCGACCATCTTCACAAATTGGACGAAGGAGTACAGACTGGACCTGAATATTTCAGTCGATGGCACAAAAATTCCGACAGTAAATAACCCTAAAATTTTAGGCGTCACTTTGGACAGTCTGTGCTCTTTCACTCCTCATACGACCGCGATAACTGCCAAAGTATAGAGCCGCAACAAAATCCTCAAGTCGCTTGCCGGCAGCTCTTGGAAAAAAAAGACAAAGAAACGTTGTTGGCAACATACAAGGCAATCGGCCGGCCGGTCCTAAATTATGCAGCCCCAATATGGTCGAATGGATGCAGTGACACGTAGAAGAAAAAGCTTCAGACCTGTCAGAACACTGCAGTCCAGACTATCACGGGATGCCTCTTGATGTCTCCAATCGAACACCTACATAGTGAGGCCCGTATGCTTCCGGTTAAGGAACACAACGAACTCCTCTCCAAGCAGTTTCTGCCAGGTTGTTTTCGTAGAAACCACCCCTGTAGTCGCCTGCTTGTAGCGGAGCCGCCTCCTAGGAAAATCAATCCTCGCGAATCTAGAGTGATCCTCGCGCAACTTCGTTCTGGATACTGTAGCAGGTTAAACTCCTACCTATCCAGAATAGACCCTGACATACCAAACACATGTCCTGCATGCAATGACTCTCCGCATGACACTAAGCACCTCTTTGCATGCCCAACAAACCCCACTCATCTAACACCCCTCTCCCTATGGTCCGACCCCGTCGAAACAGCTCGTTTCCTGGGCCTTCCGTTAGATGACCTCGACGACAACGAATCTAGATTTTATCACCCAAACGGGGATTAGGTAATCGTTACAACAACAACAACAACAGTGGTAGGCGTGGCAACCAAGGCAGGCACAATTAAGCGTCCTATTCACAAGCTCGCCCTACTACCCATCAATGTTGAAGGATCATGATCCGGTCAAGGTGGCCGATGTTGCGTCAAGCAACTTTTCGAAACTAAAATAAAATATATGTTCAAAATAAACCGAAAAAACTAAGATTAATTGAATAATATTGAAATGAATTATAAATGTTTTATGCTGTAAAAATGCTTACCTTCATTACACTTATTACAGAACACATTATCTATTACAATAATCTTTTACAATGAATTAACGAAACTGTTGAAATATACTTATACTTACCCCTTTTATAATACATACTTACCGTTAGATTAAGGTTAAGGCTAAATTATAATGTACGTAAAATAAAAAAATCAATTGTAATTTAAACGGAAAACCATGCGGACGTTAATTTATTTTATCGGAGTTTATATTATAATTATCATTTTCACAGGCAATTAGGTTTTCTTTTATCGCGCACCCCTATCAATAACTTTTTATCGTTTCTCAAAAACTCTTGAGAATTTTCAATGATCTCAACAAATTTTCCTTTTTTGTTGTAATCTTGTTTTTATTTTTATATATTTGTACAAAATTATTATAGTTTATTTATATATATATATATATATATTAGTTATTATAGTTTATAGTAAACAAAAAAGTTGAAGTTCGACAATACTTCAGCCGATTTTTTTTTTGTCGAATTAGGTGGATATCAATGATATCGAATTTCAAAACTTCAACCGAAATGCAGTTCAGTTGGAAACCGTAATAGGGGTTTAAATTTAGTCTCTTGATAATATAAATTGTCAGCAATATTTAAATTGAAGTAAAATATAAAAATAAAACTAAGTGAATCTGACGTATAATATCAAATAATAAAACACCAAGTTGCAATCCATGCACTGTTTCGAATAATGAATGACGAATATTTACACAACAGTAGAGTATTATGATGAGACAAAACTGGAAAGCCGTAAATTTTCAGAATGTAAGATATATAGAAACTCAGCATTTGCATCATAGTTTGGTCAGCGATTACCAATAACTTTTTTTTTTTAATTTTGATAAGTTTTTCTGTCAATTCTTCAAATTACGTCAGATAGCTTCTGACTTTAGTAGCATCACTTTGTAGCATCACTTTGTGTTTATTTTTGCTGATTTTCAAATCATGGCGACATCAGGTTACGACTTCCTCGCTAATGTTGCTAAGTTTAACCGTCATGTAGAAATGTCCAAAAGAGAAATCGACCCCAATTCCATGCTACATTAATTTAATTCTGCACAAAAATTTATCCGTTTTTTATACTCTCGCAACCTGTTGCTACAGAGTATAATAGTTTTGTTCACCTAACGGTTGTTTGTATCACCTAAAACTAATCGAGTAAGATATAGGGTTATATATATATATAAATGATCAGGATGAAGAGACGAGTTGAAATCCGGGTGACTGTCTGTCCGTCCGTCCGTCCGTCCGTCCGTGCAAGCTCTAACTTGAGTAAAAATTGAGGTATCTTTATGATACTTGGTAGACATGTTTCTTGGTACCGTGAGACGGTTGGTATTGCAGATGGGCGTAATCGGACCACTGCCACGCCCACAAAACGCCATTAATCAAAAACAAATAAATTGCCATAACTAAGCTCCGCAATAAGATACAAGACTGTTATTTGGTACACAGGATCACATTAGGGAGGGGCATCTGCAGTTAAAACTTTATTTTAAAAAGTGGGCGTGGTATCGCCTCTAATAGGTTAAATGTGCATATCTCCTAAACCGCTAATGCTATAATAACAAAATTCACTAGAAGCAAATGTTTTTAGCACTTCTATTGACGGTGTGAAAATAGTTGAAATCGGGTGGCAACTCCGCCCACTCCCCATATAACGGTACTGTTAAAAACTGCTAAAAGCGCGATAAATCAAGCACTAAACACGCCAGAGTCATTAAGTTTTATCTCTGAGATGGTATAAATTGGCTTTATAGGAACCGCGTTCAAAATTAGTCAGTGGGCGTGGCACAGCCCACTTTTAGGTGAAAACCCATATCTTGATATCTGCTTAACCGATTTCAACCAAATTCGGTGCATAACGTTCTTTTCATGTTTTTATGTCATAGTGCGAAAATGGGCGAAATCGGACTACAACCATGCTTACTTCCCATGTAACACCATTTTCAATTCCATCTGATTCTTTCACTTTCCACTATGCAAATCACAATCCACAAAGAAATCGCAAACGAGTATACCATTTGACTTTGCGAGAGTATAAAATGTTCGGTTACATCCGAACTTAGCCCTTCCTTACTTGTTTTAGTTGCGTTATATTCCCAAAAATCGCAAGAGTATCTGAATTTCTTTACATTTCTAGTCTTTCCTTATTTTTTTCTCAATCTTTTGGTAGCTTATAAATTAATAAGCTTTTAACGAGAAAAATGATATCATAGGAAAATAAGATTATATCTTAACATACACAAATTTTAATTCGCATCTCCTGTTGTATTTACAGATACCGAGCCATACAAAACCTTATTCAGTGAAGGACGTTGGAACGATCTTGTTTTAAATTTTCGAAATGAAAACTACCGTTTATTTCAATTATCAACTCAATCTTTACTTAGTGTTGCAATACAAGTGAGGCTGAACAATAAATTTTATGAATTTATTAATTTTTTTGATTTTGTTGTTTTCTATAGGCTGGATTATCGTCATTAAAAACACCACAATGCTATTCTCCAAACTGCAAAAATCCTCATTGCCCTGTTTGTCAAGAAGATTTCAATCAAATCGCTAGGAATTTGCCATATTCACATTGTGTACAGAGCCGCCTAATTTGCAGGTAAAACACATAAGAGTATAAATACAGGTTGGTTGAAAATTTACCGGTATAAAAATAATTATTCAACATAATCTCCCTAAAGGTAGTAGTCTGGTAACTTATGCCTATTTTCATGACTTCTTTGGGGGGTGGTTTTTATAGGAAAATAAAAATGAATTATCTTGAATATTAAGAGTGTTTTTATTTACATATTGAATATATAAAAAAAAAATGTATTTGAAAATATTTAATAGTTTAAGAAGTTGGAACCTCAAAAAAAATGCACGTGGGTGATTTTGGGTCTAGATGTTATCTGAAATGAAATATTCTTGATTATTCTCAATCTATAGACATGTCATTCTGGTCGGAAGTACTAAAGTTAAATTTCAAGGGTAAATAACAAAATGGCGTAAAAAAAGTCCTTTTATTTTAGCAAAGAAAGGGTTATAAAATAAAAAGTTAGGGGTGAAAAAAATTCTCGTTAGTACCGACGAAAGCAATCGGTTCAGTAGAAAAAAAGCTAGGACCCGGGCCGACCAGAAAAACAATATTTTGAGAAAAACGCGTTTAAAGTTCAACAACCGTAAAGGTTGGACTCCGAGGCGCTCTAGGAAACTCGTTATAACTCCCGAAATATTTCGAATTTCTGTCTGTGTTTTTACAGTATATTCTCAAGTCATTGTACTTTCCAATTAAACGAAAAAAAAAAAAATAAATTCCGATTTTTTGAACCCAAGTTACCAGACTACTACCTTAAATTCAATACACTTATTCCAATGATCCTCCAAAAATTGTATGCCATGCCGAATTTTTTCATCCAGCTGATCAATAATGCTGCAATAATATTCAGAGTTGATTGTTTTACCTTTCTGCAGATAATTCATCAACAAAATTCCTTTTGAATCCTAAAAAACTGATGCCATAACCTTCTTTGCTGATCGTTGTGACTTCACCTGCCTTGGAGCTAAACAGCCAGCTTTAGGATCATGGTAGTAGATACATGTCTCATCCATAGTTAATAAACGTTGCAAAAAATCGGTTTTATTCTACTTAAAACGCTCCAAATTTTGCTGAGACACAGCTTTTTCATGTGTATTTTTCCATGTAAAATATGAAGTACTCGTTCGTCTGAAATGCCTATGACATCAGCAATTTCACGCTTAGTCAAACTTGGATCTTCATTAATAATACAATATTATGGAATTGCTTAATGATTTCTAGTGTGGTCTCGGTTTTTGGTCGACCTTCGCGTGGATCGTTTTCAAGCCTAGTACGACCACGTTTAAATTCACCAGCCCAAAATTCAACGGTGCGTTTTGAAGGTGAGGCTTTTAAGCCTTTCAAAACAAAGAATCTAATCACTGCGCGATATTAAATTTTTTCTGTATTAAAAAAATACTTTGACACGTTACCTTCAAATGGCTTGTAAACAAAAAATTAATTGACAGAATGTCTTGGAACTTTGCACGATAGGTGTACCAACTTGAGAAAAAAGGTAGCTAGTAGTGTTATTTCTTAGTGAGACCAACCAATCTGTACATACAATACTGTACAAAAAGGCACGACATAACTGCCTTAAAGATAATTTGTTATTACTCTTAACAAACTTGCCAACTTAAGTGCATTTATTATAGAAAGATATATTATATTCCTGAAATAAAGCCATGATAATAGTAGATGCCAGGCTTATATTAAAATTTTCAAAAGAAATAAAGAAATAATTGAACTTGGGATCATGTTGGGAACTTGGGAATACAATACTAAATTTTAATTTATTTATCTATGGAAATCTCAAAAGTAATATGTTCTTATTTAACTAAAATTATTTAGCAGTTGCATAATAGTTAGTCTTAGTAGTACTGCCACTTTGCAGGACTTGGTTACACTTCCGAACAACTTCCGATTTCGTAGATGTAATGTCATTTTAAGCTTCAGAACTATTTGATGAATTGTCATGAAACTTTGATAAAATTCTAAGTAAGGTTAGTTAAATAATAATAGCTGGGACCGTAAATAATGATTATTGTTGCGACTTATTAATGAAAAACTCAATCACTTAGAATCGGCATACCAAAAAACGTCATGTTATTCCTTTTTTAACGATTTCCGCATTTCAGTGATGATTTTTTATTTTCGAATTTTTATAACTTTCTTCACCGATAATTTTTAATTTTGATTAATTTTATAAATAATCAATAATAAAATATAAATTTTATAAATAATCATTATATGAACAAAAAAAAAAATTAATTTTGATATATAAAAACGACATATGAGTGTTGGTATAAATAACTAAATATTATCTGATCGAATTCTCTAACAAAAAAGGATTTAAAAGTAATCGGTTTTATAAAAACTTCAATATTAAAACCTTAAAACATACACAATGAAACTCCAGCGCATTATGTGATGGAAAATGCTTCCTTATTTAAATTTCTCCAGCGCATATAAACGCTGAAGTTGTATGGATGTTTGATATGCAATTTATTTTGCACAAAATAAAAATTAAAGTATCTCATATCGCAAATTAACTTCCCTTGGCGGAGTATGGAAAAAATATATTACTATCTACTAACGCGCGAACGAAATAAAACTCGAAATGTTTCCCGTTCAAGTGAGATTAAAAATCTGTCTTTATTTGTAAAATAACTTATATTTATGAATTTAGTTATATAATTTTCAATTATGTTGATTTGTCAAAACAAAGAATGAAGATGTCTCTTTCTTTATTAAAATATTATGCTAAGTAAGCAGAAATACTGTAGAAATCCAAAAGATAAAATTTTGTATGTTTGCTATGCCGTGTATGGAGGCTGCCGTTTAACTCCCCCTCTCTAAGCTGAATCGTTCTCGATTCAATATCATTTTTTGATAGACTGTGAATTTTATCCAAAATAGTATTATATGAAATTTCTTAAAATGGTACATTTTTATTTTGTTTAAAAATTTTATAGGATTTTTTCAATTTTAAAATACTATAAATTATGTACATTATTATCCAATGGAAATACATATGTACCAGAAATATTAGTGATTTTTAAAAACTTTTATTCGTTCACCCAAAATATTGATTTTACTCTTTGTTTCAATATATTCTACAATTTCAAAATAATTAACATGATTGTTCTTTAAATATTTCCAAATTTTACAATCGATATTTTCGCATATTATATTGTTAATATTTGTATAATTTACACAAGTAACAAGGTAAACTGCATTTATGGCATATAATATTGCATTTATGGCATATAATATTGCATTTATGGCATATAATATTGCTCCTTCCTAAATAAATTATTATTTATTTTTATACTCTTGCAACATGTTGCTACAGAGTATAATAGTTTTGTTCACCTAACGGTTGTTTGTATTACCTAAAACTAATCCAGACATATATAAGGTTATATATATTTAAATGATCAGGATGACGATTACGAATTCGTAGATGGGAGTAATGGGACCAACGCTAACTCCACAAAACGCCATTAAACTAAAACCTTTAAAGTGGCATAACTAAGCACTAAATAAAGAAATAAAACTCTAATTTGGCACAGAGGATCGCAGTAGCAAGAATTACCTTTGGGATATCTCCTGAACAATTCAAGCTATTAAAACAAATTCGCTCAGGATTAATCCCTTAAGAACCCTTACCGACATCGTAAAACTGGATGAAATCGGATGATAACCCCGCCCAGTCCCCATATAACGGTTCTGTTAAAAACTACTAAAGCGCGATAAACCAGTAAATAAGTGCGTAAGAAACATAAAATTTAACATCGGAAATCATAGAAGAGGGTTTAAGGAGCCGCTGTCTAAATTTGAAGATGGGCGTAACCCCACCCACATATAGGGGAAACTCCATATCTCGTGACCTGTTCGACCGATTTAAAATTTTTAAAATTCGTCACATAGCCTTATTCTCACATTCTTCTATTGCAGTGCGAAATCGGACAGCAACCACACCTACTTCTCTTATAACACAATTTTTAATTCCATCGGAGTCCCCAGGTACCGAATTTTTTCCTTTTGCGATTTCTCGATAAATCGTTTACTTTGTAAATCACTCTTGAGTCTAATTACTGGATTGTTAAATAAAAGTCCCAATTTAATGGCTATACACTTACAATATATTTATTTCTAATTGCAACAACTTAACGCTTTGTACGCATTATCCGAATTTACAACTTCTTACTTATATTTTAATTGCTCTTTACACGGCAGCACTCTAACTAGAACTGTCTTTGCTGCACAATACGGCAGCCCTTATGTAGTAGATCTTTAACAAAAGTTCATCACTATAACATTCTGGCTACTACGAATTCGCTGTCTAGTTGCTTCTAGCAATTTATCGTCGATTCGAGTTTTTCTATCCTCCGTGTTCCTATAATATTTATGCCAGATATTATTTTAAAGTTAAATAAACGCTTTAATAGCTTTAGTTTTATGTCGAATAAAATAATTTATTTGCAAAACTCACAGTGCACGGGTCGATTCCGTAAAGAATGTTTTTACTAGAAATTTATTGCTTATAAATGGTTCCTTAAAAGTAAATTTCTTAAGTAAATTTGCGAAATGCAGGAATCTTTAGAAAAGATTATTATATTGCGGCTGAATATGTGAATGATGGGGTGATGGTGTAGTTAAAAAGATACACCCGGCAAAGTACGTAGTAATAACCCACATGGACACTGCAGATGTCGAAAATGTTCATGAACTTTAGTAGCCGGAGATTTCTAAAGAAGCACCTGCTGGTTTGACTACCGAATTGCTCAATTCTAGTGATATTTTGTGAGAACATTAAATACCACTTGTAGATATATTTATTTTTCACTTTTTAGCTTAATATGCTTTAAAGCATGTTTTTTAGTTTTTTAAATCATATTTATTATTTAGCCACACGTGGTTCTTTAAAGATATGATTGAGTAGATTTGTTATTCAAATGATAGCATGGATAGTTGATGCTTTCAGCTACATATTTTTACGTGAATTTTTTTTTGCAGTGCCTATTAAACTGTTGAGTCTTTTGTGCCACTGAAAAAAGTTTCAAACATACGTACAAATATACAAACATAAAGGTAAAGCTAATAAAAGCGTTATAAAAACTACTTGTCTCGTGGATTGTCTGCGATGAACTCTTATACTACTACTGAACCGATTTGAATCACACTGTACACAGTTTGATTAATCTTGAGGAATCGGATAGTTTATATCTTAAATTTTAGTCGCAATATTTTTATACTCTCAACATATTGCATAAAATTACAGATGATCTAAGTAGATATTCTTTTTTTCAATAGCCTTTTTTTTGACAGATCACACCGGAGTCGTGTCAAGCTGTCATGTTATTTTTGTTCAGTATAGTTTGTCATTTCATCATGGAAAGACTTAAGTCTGAACAATGTTTACAAATTGTTCAACTTTATTACGAAAATTCAGGTTCTGCAAAGAGTGTGTTTCGCGCGCTTCGCTTAACGTTTGGTCAACATAATCGGGCTACTGATCGTACTATTCGGAACACCTCACCCATCTTGAGACCCAGCATTCATTATTGGACAATATTCGACCGAATAGATCACATCCCGCACGCAGTGAAGAAAATATAACAGACGTAGCTGAGAGTGTACACGAAGACCGTGGAGAGTCCACATACGAAACGACTTGGCGCATTTTACGTCGAGATCTTAAATTAAAAGCGTACAAAATACTGCTTGCGTAAGAACTAAAGCCGCTCGATCTTCTCAAGCGACATCGCTGCGCTCTATGGGCTCTTGAAAAGTTCCAAAAAGATCCGACGTTTTCGAGCCAAAATTTTGTTCAGCGATGAGGCCTATTTCTGGTTCAATTGGTATGTAAACAATCAAAAATTCCGCATTTGGGACGAAGAGCAACCTGAAGAGATTCAAGAGCTGCCATTTCATCCAGTAAAACAACGGTTTGGTGTAGTTTATGGGCCGGTGGAATCATCGGTCCATATTTCTTCAAAAATGATGGTGAGAACATAACCATAAATGGCGATCGTTATCGCGCCATGATGACCTACTATTTGATAACTCGAATTAATTGGTTTCAACAAGACGGCGCCACTTCCCTCACATCGCATCAATCAATGGATTTATTTAGAAAAAATTTCGGCTTCGATTCTTGCCTTGGAGCAAAACATTAACAGTTACCAGTCGAAATGCTCGAACGAGTCATCGAAAATTGGACTCAACGGATGGATCATCTGAGACGTAGCCGCGGCCAACATTTGAAAGAGATAATTTTCAAAAAATAAATGCCAAAGAATGTTCTTTCGAATGATAATAAATGCTCCCCTTAAACTTAAATGTTCTGAGTTTTTTTTTATAGTTAGGAATCTCGAAATGGATCACCCTTTATAATAGTTTTGTTTACCTAAAAGTTGTCTGTAACCCCTAAAAGGCTTATATATAAAGACATATGTATCGAATTCCGTTTGTCTAACAGTGGGAAAAAGGACAATCTGGCGGCGCCTTCGAAAAAAATAACAAATTTTTAGTGTAACGTTTTTTATATTACAATTATTAATTATTATTAACAAATACTTTATCTATTTCTGCAGTTTCTTAGGCATATACTCGTATGCGAAAAGCCTCTACGTTTACTGCATACCCACAAACCATTGTGCGCAAAATTATGCTAAATCTGTTAATTAATTCCACTTGCACGCCACTTTCCACAGAAGCCCAAGTCGGCTGCTAAAAAAACTTTTTGGCAGTATTACCGCTGTTTGTGTTCCGTGAACCCGTCATTAGAATGTCCACGAAGGTATCCATTTGATTTCTCCGTTCATGTAGAATTTTTTTCTTTGTTACTTCAGACATTTCTTTTCACGAACTTACCAGTTTTTTGTATTGGTAGTCTGTAGGCGATATAAATTATACACTCTAAACACCATATCCAAGCATGTAGGTTTGATAATCCATATGATGACTCCGCTATGGCATTGAATACTTCTCCGTCTATCATTGTCAAATGGAATTCATGTTCTAATTGCAAATGATTCAATGTTGTTGGCAGAATTTGTGCTATTTGTCTCTTAACATTTTCAACTTCTACCCGTGTTGTTTCGAAAATTATTTTTATTGGTCTGCAGAACCAAGTTGAAGTAGGGCCGACTATTTTGCCATAGTATTGAGGCTGCTTCAGAAAAAATTAGATCTCTATCTTACCTTATATCTCTATCTTACCTCAAACAATGCCATGATCCTGTGACTCGTTTTCCACTTATTCACCAATTCACTAGCAAAGTTTGTTAATTGTTTTTGAATTTTTTGATATTGCTCTTTGTAAAATTTTGAAGTATCAATAAAATAAGAAAACACATGATTTTGATATGATCAACTGTGCCAAATAAAAAAAGGGGCCTTTCGAGACTGATATTGTATCTAAAAAACGCAAAAAATCAAAAAATCGCTAAAATCTGCCGCTAATTTTTCTACTTGACATACACAATAGATCATATTAAAAATCAAACCAAACTCTATGGCCGATCCGGTCGAATCCACCCAACTTTAATTCCGCAGAAAATTGGGTTACATATGCTAAAACACTTTATTCCAAAAAGCGGCAAAAAATCGCGATTAATCACTAAACATATAAGCTGAGATTACAAACACATTCTTTTAATTTAATACATATTTATAATTTCAATTAAAATTATAAAAGTAATAATTTTTGTGTGAACAAAATTTGTACTATAAAAGAGCGCGAAAATAATTAGTGCATTTGCTTAGACATATGTTAAGTTTGAAAGCTCATAGGAGGGCAAATTTGGGGAGCAAAATAAAACAAGAAAAACCAATAATCCACTGGTTTGTTAGTTGTCAAAAAAAGCAAAGAAATTTGGTGGGATTCAAACATTTAAAATTTCGCTAAATTTCCGCCAAATTGGCCATTTCTCCCGTGCGTCTGTCCAATCCATTACAATCTTACAAACGTCCGTTAAGCTAAAAATTTTGAAGTGCTATGTCTAAGTTAAAAATTAACATACAAGGTGCGTTCCAAAGTAAACAGTAAAAAAGTAACAAAGTAAACTCTAGTGGCGTCATCTATATGTCGACTAGTGCGTTAGAATCTTCTATCCTTTATAGACTTCCAGTAAAAATTGCATGACATTTCATCTATTGGAAGGGAAGTTATTGCGTTTTAAGTGTCAGTACGTTTTTGTCATCGGTGCGAAAATGAGCTTCGATCAAAGAGCCAACATAAATTTTGTTTTAAAATTGGTAAAACTTTTACCGAAACGTTTCAATTGATGAAACAAGTTTATGGCGATGATTGCCTATCCCGTAGCAGAGTGCACGAGTGGTTTCAACGTTATCAAAGTGGTCATGAGGACATAAATGAGCCGAAACCCAAAAAATCGCGCCTGGTGAAGTCAAAAGTGAAGACAATGCTGATTTGTTCTTATGATTCCAAGGGTATTGTCCACAAAGAATTTGTTTTGAAGTGTTTGGTGCGTCGTATTCGGCCCGAATATCGCGAATATCGAAGTTGGCGTTTGTTGCACGATAATGCGCCGTCTCATCGACCGACGCTTGTGGCCGATTATTTGACCAAAAATCACATTTTAACAATCAACCACTCCCCGTATTCACCGACACACTCCCCGTTCGACATGCTTTTGGACCGTGCAAAAACCTGTATTAAAGCAGATGGAGACTATTTTGAATAAAATTAATTGATTTTGCCGATAAAACCATTTGTTCTGTCTTTTTTTTTTAAAAGTCCTGTTTACTTTGGAACACACCTTGTATAACTTAGAACAGGAGATCACAGTAGAAAGGGTCATATGTGGTAAAACTTTTTTTTAGCAAAGTGGACGTGGCCCCACTCCAAAATAGGTTTTATGGACATACCTCACAAACTACTTCCTCTCCAGCACTTTGCTTTTACAGTTTAAAAACGTTTACCTCATGGGCCATCATATGGTGCATGCTCACGTGTGGTAAAACTATCTTACTTGTATATACTAGATAGGGAGACGTTAACCAAAGATATTGATTAGTACGTAACTTAATTAAAATTAAAAATATTTATAATTAAAAAAGATAGCATTTATATTATTAATTATTACATGTTTTCAACTAACAACTTTGTAATCTACTAATTTGTTTATAAAATATATTGGTAATATTAATTAAATATATTGTACAATGTATTACGTTGACTTCAGCTTAATATTAATTGTACGAACATTTTTATTAACATTCTCAAATATCTGGCTCAAGTTCACATTCCATTTCCGCGGCCTTTTACACAAATTATAAAGTTTTCCTCCTAATTTCTAAAGAATAATTTCTTTCTACTTAATCGTTTACTACAGTTTTACATATATTTTATTTATTTTTTATATTTTACTTGTTTACTTGATATTTCTAGAGTCACTGGACTTCCTTTGAATGAACATAACTTACCAATGATGCTGCCAAACGGTCAAATATTTGGGCAGTTGGTAAATATAGCATAAAATAAAGCTAAGTTTGGTTATAAATGATTTTTTTACTTTAGGCTGTACCCGAAATAACTAGAGAAGACGGTGCTGTGGTTTGTCCTATTACAAATACAACATTTTCAAGCCCAAAAGTTGAAAAGGTTTTTGTAATGTAAAAAATTAAATCAGTTTCAATTTCAAGTTTAAAATGTGTATTTAAAATCTTGATAACATTAACAATAAAAGTATAAAATTCGGTTTACACGGTCGTTACATGGTTTTATTTAACACGGTTTGACAAAAAAACATTTTTTTTGCACGATTTTATTCCATTTAGCACGATTCAATTTTCAGATTTAATTTTTGCGATATATATTCATATCACAAATTTAGAGGAATTCCCTTTTTGTGGATACAAGCAAGTTTACTGGTCAGAGCGATTGTAAATAGCACAAACTTAGAAGAATTCCCTTTTCGTGCATACAAGCAAATTTTTAAATGCTTGGCAAATTTGTTTTTCCAACGGTACATTCAAATTAATTTTAACGCTTAAGATAAAGGATAAGCCAAAAACATATTTTGTATTCATTTAATTATTTATATTTTTTTGATTTTGTTAAATGTTTATGTTTCACTAAAAGAAAATGTCGAGAATGCAACATTATATATGTAATTTAATAAAATAAACATTCAGGGGTGTTGTGGAATCTGATAGTTGTTGGAATCAGAATTGAAACCGATAAAAAAATGTAGTAGGTGTCATGAATTCAGATATTATTGGTTTGACGTTCGAAACAGAAATTGTATCGGTTTTGGGTGTCACGGGAACCAATTTTATCGGTTTTGTTATCAGAAACAAAGCAAGAGGATTTTTGCTGACAGATTTCAAATGTAAGTTAAGAAAATAACTTATATTATTGTTACGATTTAATTTATCGTTATTTCTATAGAGGAAAACATAAGAATAAAACACAAAATGTCATAATTATCGAGTTAATGGAAAAAAGCAAGAGAATTTACAAAACGTAACAAACATAATTTAACACCCAAATGCGTCTTTTTTCAGTCGATTATGTGATATAAATCGGTAAAGTAAGCATGTATACAAACATACAAGTAAATGCAAGCCAAATTTCACATGCGACTTCCATGGTGCATCAAGTGGATTACTGTGATCTTTTAATATATTCCTTTTATTTTTTTCGTTGCTTTTTTACTTCAAATAAAATAAAAGCTAAAATAGCGGAACTTATTGTAAACTTTAGTAGGCTTCATTCAGCATTTCAAATTTATAAAACGCTTCCTAATTTATTCATTTGCAGATTTTGTCACATTAGTAAACAGCTGATTGGAATATTGGTTTTGCATATGTTCGAAAAGACGCAAATCCAATCAGATTCTGTGACACCATTGAAAAACAGAATTGGTTTGCAATTCTGACAGCTAAGCAAATCCGTCTTGATTTCCACAACACCCCTGATTAATACTTGTTCTATAAAATAAGATAAGGAACCAATCACCTATTTTTACATACCAACAATGTATTTTTTACACGGTTTTTCTGGAACCAATCTACCGTGTAAAAACTGAATTAGGTCTGAAAATATGTGAGACATATGTGCGTGTGTCACAAAAGAGGAAAAGTCTCGTCAAACATCTGCAAACTTTTTTATGTTTATTAATTTCTTTATTGTCCACTTACTAAGGCTCAGATATGGCCAGAATGGGTACTCCTTTGAAAACATCCTCTGGGGTTAAAACAGGGATCGAGGGATCTTACGAGAGAGTGGCGTCATTTGAAATAAGCAATGTATTTATTGCTTATGAGTCCCATAAACGACCCATATGAGGAGCGCTTAGGTAGATGCGATAAGATCGACCTTTGCCTCGAATCAGATTTAGCTCTTTTATTTGCATGAAATATTAAAGAGTTGAATTTACTGAGCAGATTCCCGGAATCTGATTAAGCTTTAATTATTGTAACTGTGATAATATATTATGTGTTAACTTCTCCGCCCTTGAATTTGAGCGTCCTCGTTCGATAGAGTTGAGCAAAACTTTGGTAAATATTTTATCACAATTTCTATAGAGTCTTGTTGGAGTTTCTTTCTTTATTTATTTTAAGTTTCTTTTGCTTAAGTTTACTTAGAACAATTATGATTACAGACATTATAATCAATATAGATGTTACAATAATAGTAACGTAGATATAATTTTCTTCTATTTTACTATGCTTTGCCATTGGTTGTAATATTGCTGGCAATAGCTTATTTTCTGCTATTTCTTTTGAAAAATACATTTTGTTTCCTATCTTAGTAATCGTATTACAAAATTTGATCAAATATGACCCATTTAATTTTATATTTTCAATTTTATTGTTAATTTTTCCAAAATTTTATTTTCACATTCGCGCTGTGTTCATCTGTGGCTACATTCATTTCAAAGGTACTGTCACTGTAGATGTCATTTGTTTTAGCTTGGACAACAATTTGTTTCATTCATTTGAAAATGTCGACATTTGTACCAGATAAAGTATTTTTGCGGGGAGTTCTTCTTCATTATTTTAACATAAAGAAAAGTGCTACCAAAAGCCATCGTATTTTACTGGACGTTTAAGAAGAACTTGCAAAAGTATTAGGAGTAGATCAAGCAACCGTTTCCAGACGATTAAAATCATTAGGATTCATCCAGAAGCTTGGAAATTGGGTGTCTTATGAATTAAAGTCAAGAGACGTCGAACGTCGATTCTGTATGTCGGAAAGGTTGCTTCAACGCCACCAAAAGAAGTCATTTTTGCATCGGATTATCACTGGCGATGAAAAATGGATTCATTATGATAACCCAAAGCGCAAGAGATCGTATGTGAAGCCCGGCCAACCATCGACATCCACGGCAAAGCCGAATATCCATGGTGCCAAGGTTATGCTATGTATTTGGTGGGACCACAAGGGTGTGCTCTATTATGAGCTATTGAAATCGGGTCACACGACCAATGGATCCCTCTACCGAAAACAATTGATTCGTTTGAAAAAGGCCATCGCGGAAACACGACCAGAATATGCGACCAGACACGAATCAATAATTTTTCATCATGACAACGCTCGGCCACATGTTACAAGGCCAGTTAAAAATTATTTGGAAAACTGTGGGTGGGAAGTTCTACCTCACCCGCCTTATAACCCAGACATAGCACCTTCCGATTATCACTTGTTCAGATCAATGCAGAATGCCCACACCGGAGTACGTTTCACTTCAAAACAGGGTATCAGAAATTGGCTCGATTCTTTCTTGACCTCCAAGCCGGAGAAGTTCTTTTGGGATGGGATCCACAAACTGCCAGAAAGATGGGCAAACATCGTAGCTTCCGATGGGCAATAATTTGAACATTAATTGTATAACAATTTTTTCACAATAAAGTCTTAATTTTCGAAAAAAAAGAGAATTAACAATTTATTTGTTAATTCTCTTTATCGATCTAAAGTCTAAGGCTCTACAATCGTTTTTTTTCGGTTATGGGCAGACTTACTATATAAACTATGCTGTCGCTATTGGAAGCAATTTTAATTTCGGCGAACTCTAAGGCCTCGTCGACGTTAATAAATGGTATATTTTCATTTTCTAGACATTGTTTCGTCATTTCGATTTCTTTGTTTGATAATATATAGGAATTTATTACATTCGATTTTTCGCAATGGATGGCATAAGCTATGCTAATTAATTTTTCTTTTGTTATCTCTAATTTGGATTTAATTTGAAGTATTAAATCATTTTCAACTTCAGTTTTTCCATTACTAATTCAGATATTTTGATGATGGTGTTGTTTTCCAAAACATTGTTAATTTTTTCTATCAAAATATTAGATCAAGTAAAAAGTTCGTTCGGTTTTTTTTATTGATTTTTCAAAAGATGATAACTTTGTTCGTTTTGTTCGTAAACTTGTTGCCAACGAGATGCCAACTTCATTTTACCCCTCTCGTAGAAGGCTGCGTCCCTATTGGCAAAAAACTCGGAGAGATAATTTTTACAGGCCTCTCTTGAGGCCAACTTCTCACCATTAAGCGCGTTCGCCATGGACCGGAAAAGATGGTAAATGGACTATAAGGTGGGTGCGTTAGGACCTCCCATCCGAGCTCCCGGAGCTTCTGGCGCATCACCAAAGACGTGTGTGGCCTGGCGTTGTCCTGATGGAACACAATTCGGCCTCTGTTGATCAAAGATGGCCTCTTCTGGATGAGTGCTGCCTTCAAGCGGTCCAGTTGTTGGCAGTAGAGCCGAATTGAGCGTTTGGATATAGGGGAGCAGCTCGTAGTAGATGATTCCTTGCCAATCCCACCAAACACAGAGCAAAACCTTCCTGGCCGTAAATCCGGTCTTGGTCTGGGCCGCTCCCCGAGCTTTGACCACGACCGTTTGCGCTCTATGTCGTCGTAAGTGACCTATTTTTCATCGCCAGTCACAATCCGCTTCAGAAACGGTTATTGTGTTTTTTATAGTGGAGTATCGATAAGTAAGTAGGTACAATAGGCGCAACATAGGCCTTGTATACAACAAAAACTCTATTACGCTTATTGAACAAGTCTCTCAATATTTAATGTTTATTATTATTCATGTTTATGGTTTCATTTTACGTTTAGGGTTTTAGTTTACATTACTTACGAGCTCAACGTTCAAACGGCGGCAGTTATTTTGAACCAGAGAAAAATTACTAGTTATTTTGAGCCGTAAAGGCGCCGAGTTTGTATGAGTATGAGTGAGTTTGTGAACGCAACCAGATGCGATACGTGCGACGCAAGCGGAGTGGGGTCACGGGGATTCCCCGATTTTAACGAACGAGATAGCTAAGGCAAAACAAAACAATTGAACAAACATTTGATTGAAAGTGTGTGTAGGTTAGGTTAGGAGGTCGATCCCAAGAAGGATCCCACTTGAACAGCTTAAGACGCCGGTCCGTTGTGATACCTATAAAACTCCTATAATCTGGATCAAAACACCCTTACAAGTCGACGAAACGCTTTGTGCTTACAACAAACTTGTTAAGACGGCCAATATCCATTTCGGCTAAGTATTCAGGTCCGCCAAAAGTGTGATTGCCGAGATATTTCAATCTCAGCCTAGCGAAAGCCGGGCATTGGAGGAGAAAGTGCCGGGATGATTCCGCCTCGCCCTCCTCCATGCAACTTTGGCAACTATCATCGGGTAGTACTCTAAGCCGTACCACATGAGTGCCCATTGGACAGTGTCCAGTGAGAACTCCTACCATAGCGGCGAT